GGGGGGTCCCCGGCAGGGCAGGTCGGGGGCAGCCCCCGAGGAAAGGGCGCAGGCGACGGGCAGCAAAACTGCACCTCCGGCGGCGCTTTATAATTAGCCTAATCCTCATTTGCACACCTCGCTCAAAAGCAATTATTTAAAAAAATTAGAAAACAATTAGGCTCCCTAAGCAAAGATAATCTAGTCAGTAGCCGGGACTGGCTGGGAGATGAGGACAATGCGGTGAGATAAGGGCAGGGGAGCGGTGGGAAGAGGGTGTCTTTATGATGGTATTTATCTTTGATTAGATAAGTCGAAGCCGGTATTTTAAGCACACTCCAGAAGGCTTTGGATTCAAGAACGAGTTCGCTCCGCGGGTGCTAAGAACCGTCGCGGGGCTCTTTAAAACCTGTTTGTCTCCACTAACGGCGTTGGGATTTATTTGACTCGAAATGCCCGAAGTGAAGGGCAGCTCGTTTCTGCGGGAGGAGGGCTCGGAGCCGGGGCCGCCGGCGCTGCCGCTGCCCCTTCCCTGCCCGCAGCCCCGCAGCCCCTGCCCGCTCCTCTCCTCTCGGCACGACGTGGGAAAGGCCGGTCCCGATGTTTTCCTAAATCCGGATTGTTGTAAATCCCATCTACTTCGCGTCTCGGGGCTGTTTAAAATAAGCCCCTGCCACCCAGTCTGTGCAGTGACTTTACTACGTACGCTGGAGTCAGGACGCTTCTATATCCCATGACCATGTGTCTGGTAATTTTCCCTTGCCATTTTATTTTAGTACTTATGATGTTGCAGATGAAGTCTTAAAGAGCTGCAATGTCCTCCCAGAAGGAATGTCTGCTTGGAACAGATCCTTATTGACAAGGCAGCTGTGTGGGGACCGGAACGGAGCCTTAAACCCGGCTCTAAAATCAACTAATACCCTAAAGTCTGGAGCAAGTGCGCAGAATTAGAAGGCATGGGACTCGCAGCCGCCTGCGGCCGCGTCCTGGAGGAGCAGTGCCCTGTCCAGCCTGGGAAACGGGCTCTCCCATCCCACCTTTTTTACATTATTCATTTTTATTTTTGTTTTTGTTTTTCTGCCTACGAAGGTGCTCAGTTCGGGAAAAAAACACGGACCCAAGGGCTTGCACTTTCAGGATGAGGAAGAGAGAAATGCAAAGCGGGGCTGGGGAAGCTCCTTGCCAGTTGAACGAGAGCGGTCTTCTCTTGCCCTCACATTTCTCCTCTGTTGTTTTTTTTAGGTTTTTTTTCCTCGAAAAGGCCGACCAAAACAAACACCGCTCTTGCCGGGAATAAGCAAATGATCCCGCCGCGGCCGGCGGCGGAGCTGACAGGGATGGCAGAGGGCTGAGCCAAGCCTGCCCCACGATTTCCAAGCAGGACTTTATTCTTCCGTGTCACCAAAATTCACGCAAGGAGGGGACAGAACTCGCCGGGGCTCTCCCTGGAAGTTACACGCTGCGGCTGAGAACCGGCCAGCATCCATGTTAATTATTGCCCGGGGTTGGTTGTCCTAAAAACGGTAAACGTTTCACTTTACCCACGAAAAGAGGCAAAGAAATTCCCAAACCACCTCATCCCATTTAGACCTTTTAAATCACGCAGGAAAGAAAACAAAACCAAACAAAAGTTGTATGTCTCTCTCAAAAAAAAAACAAACAACAAACAAACCCAACAAAAAAAAACAACACCAAGAACAACAACAAAAAAACCAAAACAACCAACCCAAAGAAACCCCAAACAAAAAGGAGGACGCAAAGAACTGAACCATTAAATAACACAACGGCGCGGAGCAGCCGCCGGCCGCTTTTCTGCCCTTTATTTTTCGGCAGAGCAGGAGCAGCCCGGAGGGCTCCCCCCGCTCCCACCCCGGCCAAAACTCTCGGCTTCGACCCCCCCTCGCTCCGAACCC